GGGGGGGGGGGGGGGGGGGGGGGGGGGGTGTCTTGTGGCTGTGCCCATCCGCCCCCGGTTGGCTTCAGCCATGCTGCAAACAAAAGAAATGGCCAGATTTGCCAGGAAGACATCAAGGAAGACAACAAAAGGCCATTTTTGGCAAACATTTTCTTCCGCCAGACGTAACGCTTAGGGCGCGTATGGGGGAGGAGGCGGTTTCCTCCACAGGACAGGGCAGGGGTTCTTGGCATTAGGGGGTGCAGGAGTTCAGGTGTCCCACATGGCAAGAGCCCTGGTTTGGTTCATGAGAGCCACATCTTTCACAGAAAGAACAGCATTTCCTGCCACAGCAACTCTTAGAACAGCAGGTGACTTTGCCAGGAGGGGGAGCTTATGGAGATATGGATTCTTCTCCTGAAGAGACAAATGGCAGATGGACATACACACRCGCAGGGGGAAGACTTCTCTTGGCCAAGGGGACGGGGAAGTCCCCAGAGTGCTGATGTGCTGCAGACTCCTTGCTTTGTCCAGGGAAGTAGTGCAGCCACAGGAAAACTCGTGACACGTGGTGACTTGTGCACACCCCYGCTATGTGGCATGTTTGCTACTGGGCTCCTTGGCTGAACCGTCCAGGGACTGTGAACCTGACCCATGGAGCTTCTCCTTTCCTCCTTCCTAGAGTCATTACTTTGGTCATGTTGAAGCCTTCAGATCAAGCCTCCCATCCCCAAATGACTGGGGCACAGCGGGGATCTGCCTTGTTAGGGTTGACAGCATGGACACCAGGGAGGAACAGACTCTGGTGAGATTGTACAAAGACCTTCTTTGCTACAATGTAATCAGGACTTTCAGGTGTCCTCCTTCCTTTCCCCCTTCAGTTCCTTGAGACAAACTAAACTGCTTTTGTCCTGACCGCAAGCACGCTCAGTGTTCAGTCTCTCCAAGACCTGGGAACACTCCCAAAAGGTGAACTGCTMCCTCCTGAGGAAACAGTAAGATGGAGGCAAGAAGATGCTGAGGCTGCAGCCAGTCTTTGAAACGAACCTCCTGACAGACAGCCCAGTTAACCCCTCTGGGGATAGACCCGGCTTTGTCTGTTTTGGAAGAGGGAGGAGCTAGCTCAGTGCACCTTGGGAGAAGACCTTCACCGTGGCACTGAGTCGGAGAAGGAGAAACAGTCTGTGCTGTAAAACATACACATTTACTTCCAAAGAGATCGTCCCAGGACCAAATATCCCCTGGGAATTCCACACTGTGTGGAGGGCAGGGGAAGTCTACAGTTCTTTGAGTGTCCACAAAAAGAAATGATAAAAAAGTAACAGCCCAAAAAACAGCAACTGACATGAGTCAAATTATTCYGAGAGGAACATCCGCTATGTACAGCAAGTGCCTCTGTCCACTGGGGTGAGGGGGTACATTCCCACAGGTACTGGAAGAGGCCTTGGACCTTCCTGCTCCTGCTGGCTGGGCAGGSTCAGCCACTGTGTCAGAGCGCAGACACTGAAACAAATGAAACAAGAACAACAAACCCCACTGTGTTCCTTAGGATCCCCGGTGTATCTCTGCTTCTCTCCCTCTGTGCGTCCCTACAGGTGTCTCTGCCTCTTTAGTCTATGGTCCCCGGGTGGATGCTGAGGACTGGTGGCTCTAGGCAAGTGGGAGAGTAGTTGAGGTGAGGCTCTTTGATCCACAGCAAGGGCACCCCGTTCTTGCCCTCCGAGTTCTTGCTGGAGTTTCGGCTCTTGAACCGCACCAGGAGGATGGTGATGATCAAGATGCCAAAGATGGGGAAGGGGTAGAAGAACACAAAGTAGAAGAGGGCRTCATTGGAGCAGATGACAGACTGCAGGGTGGAGCCTAGAAAGAGACACAGCGTGGTCACATTTCATGGTTTCTCTGTAATGCAAGGCATGCAAACTTCCTCAGAAATTAAAAAAAAAAAACCAGATGCTCATTATTCTATGTCAATGCAGGAGGTGGGGCTCAGGGAATATCAGTGTTAGGAAACAGAACAGGAGTTATCACAGGGCATGTTTCAGCTTTATCCCCTCAGGAGTTTAATGAGTGACAGAGTCCTCCCTGGTGTAGATTTTATAGTATCTTATAAAGCAGAGAGCCTTGCAAAGCCTGTGTTCCCTCAGTGGTGCTACACAAAGGCAGCAGCACCCCAGGATCTCTATCCCCCTWAAGGGCCCATAAAACCCTCATGACCTCAGTTATTTCTGGGGCCTCTGAACCATCCAACGGCTTCAAGAGTTGATGTGAGGAGACCMTTGTGCCACAGCCCATATCCTTGTGCAGAGCTCATCCAATTTCCAGGGCGTTTCCCGAGGGAAAGGGTTAAATCCCAGTGGGTGGCAATGTCTGTCCCCACTGACTGGAGACACACCAGTGGTAAATGCTGTGGGTGGGCAGCCCCAGCACAGAGCTGAGTGAAGCATGGATACTCAAGGCAGAGCAAGAGCGGGGCTATGAGCCATCGAGCTGATTGGAACAGTACCAGCACCACAGACTCAGCCCAGTCCCGTTTTCTCCTTGGCCTTTTTACCCTGATGGAACCCAAGGTGCAGGGGATGCCAGGCCATGGCCCCACAGGTTGTCACCTCTTCTCACCTGCATCCTGCACGTGCACAGTGACCATCCCCGACTCCTCCTCGGCCAGCCGGTACCAGACACCGTTGGGACTCGCCAGCCACTCCTCCACTCGGCACGAGTAGTTGCCCGTGTCGGCACYGCCCGCCTGCAGCACCGTCAGCCGGAAAAGCACCGCCGAGAGCCTCTGGAAGCGCAGGCGGCCCTCCCAGCGACCAGCCTCGGGGCTGAAGATGGCATCAGGGCCCACACTCAGCACTGCTTCCCTCTCCTCCTCCTCCTCCTCCTCCCCCTCCGCCRTGTGGTCGCCCGCCTCTTTGGCCCGCAGGCTGTACCACGTCACTGCAAAGTGGGACTCTGGGCTGGAGCGGGACAGGATGCTGCAGTCCAGCGGGAAGGACTCCTTCTCCTGCACCGTGAGGTTGGCAGTGGCTGTGTCCACCTGCAAGGTGGGATCTGAGATGACAAAAGGGGAGAGGTGAGCTCTGAGCAAAATGCTATCATCAAAACCATCCTGCCTCAGCACAAACTGTCATGACTCTGGTGCTAGGCATGATCCAAGCAAAATCCAAAGMTTGACGCAGCCTGCCCAGAGTCACAGGTACCTCTGTGGCCAACCCCACAGGCACAGCATCCTCACCTCACACCATCTRGCACGGGGTCAAACAGCAGCTGGCGGCAAGCACCACCCTACTTCTGCCCACCCTCACCCCAATTAAGGGATGAGAGGAGAAAGCTGCTGCAGCTCATCCAGATGAGAATGTGTCAGGATACTACTGTCCCTCACAGCAATGTACTACTCCTCCCCAGCTACTGTGGCAAAGAACACTGCACTCCCTGCTTTTTATTTCTTTGAGAGTGCTCAAAGGACTTGAAAACCATTATGACAGAAGATTTTTTCCAACAGTCTGGCAAGTTATTTAGGTAAGAGGTTCCTCCACAGAGATGGCCTCAACAYTGGCAGCAACGATGCTCCAAAAGTCTTCCTCTCATTTTTTTTCCTCTAGTGCTTGCTGTAAGGCTAAAGAGATGTTTTTACCTAACTGAGACACAATGGCCAGAACCCACGATGAGCTGATTAAAGGCCACTTCAAGAGCAATTAACATTTGGTTTAGTCATCTTGCCAGGGAGCACRTACTCCAGGGATCACAATCAGTCTGGATCTAAGCTTTCATTTAAAGATTAAAAAGCCCTTTCCAAGACAGAAGCTGAGCAGGAAGGGCAAGTCAATAGCCCACTGGAGAGAGAGGCACTTTCTCCTCCAGCGAGGAGAGCTGGGCAAGCCCTCCCTTGTGCAGGAGGGGGCTGCTGTCCTCCAGCTCTCTCAGCCACAGAAGTGCTGTCTGTGCTCAGTGGGCTCCTCACTGCAGCACCTGCCCAACCCTTTTTAAATGGTTCCACGAGGAAAACCTTCATTAAGGCCAGAGGTCTTCAGGCCATAAAGCAACACGAGTATTTTCAGGTCCCATCTTCCCAGGGAGKACTCTTGAGAAGAAACAGGAATGAGTTAAGTCCTGATATTCTGGGGGCTACTGAGGTAAAAAGAAGGAAGGGAAGGAAATGGCTTGTCAAAACTAACACAAAGCCTCCCTCACCTTTCCTAGGTTAAGCAGAAAGAGGAGAACTGATGAAGGTGCTGAGAGGTTTTCCCCTCCTTGCTGGATGATTACAGCCCTAACAGATGAGGCTGGAGATCCTCACTAATGAGACATGAGTCACAAGAACGATTAGTCATTTTGTTAAGTACTGACTGCTATGAAACAAAAACAAACAACAACAAAGCACTTTCAGAAAAAAAGTATCTTCAATTAGCACGCTCCCAGCTCCCTCTCTTCTTCCCACTCCACATTCTTCTGCAATTCAAGAGGAGCCTCAGAGATTTTTCCTGCYGTTCATTATCCCCTCCATCAGGCCTGGCAATTATCACACTGGATGGAGAGCTGTACTTAAAAGTCAGCAGGGCACAGGGATTGCCTGGGGAGGTGTCTGTGCTCAAGCCACTTCAGCCGGCAAAACTTCCCAAGTAAAGACAAGATATGGTAAATGGCAGATAAGGGCTCTGCTGTGCCCTGGCAATGCTCCTCCACACTCCAAATCTCTGCCAGGAATGACCACTAAAACCTTTCCAGAACCTCACTCTTTTGCCAGCTCCACCGCAGAGTTACAAGGCTGACACTTTGCTGGAATGGRCAGGCATGAAGCACCACAGCAGAACATGCAGAGTGGTTGCTTTAGAAGATGGAAAGCACCTAGTGAATGAGGACTGTAACTTGACCTACAGCCTTTAAAGCAGACATTCCATCTTGAGTTATATGCGTCAAAGGCTAGGGAATCTTATTTTCCAAGGTAAACTGCCCTTGCAGAGTATCTACTGTGAAAATAGTCAAAACTTCACACGGTACCCTGGCAATCTGCTTTTGWGGGTTATGGAGTCCATCAGTGCTGGCCAATCTTAAGAACTACCTTTTGGAAACACAGTAACAGGCAACTCCACTGTGACCTAAGTGAAGCAAGGCTGGCTGAATAGCAACTCCTTCTGGAGCTCAAGAGGAGAAAGAAATGRTATCATCTCAGGAAGCAGGGTCAGGCTCTGCAGGAAGATTATGGAACTGTAGTTCATGTATGCAGGGAAAAGACACAGAAGGTCAAAGCTCAATTACAGTTGAAATGTGTGTGCCAGCACTTTTTTAAGGCTGTTAATAGCAAGAAGATGTCTAAAAAAATGCTGGATTGATACTTGTTGAAGATTGTCATCTGATTACCAGGGATGAAGAAAATGAAGAGGCATTCAATGCTTTTTTGSCTCAATCTTTAATAAACCTGACAGACCCTGGGCTGCTCAATCCTTTGAGTCAGAGGACCATGAGTGCAGGAACAGTAACTTTCCACGTGCAGACTCTGAAATCGTGAGGGATCAGCTACATCAGCTGAGTGTCCAAAAGTCCATGGGGCCTGACCAGATTCCTCCCAGTATCCTGMAAGGGCTGGCAGGTGTTATGGCAGGACCCCTCCTGAACATCACCCAAAGGCCSTGGCAGTCTGGGGAGGTGCCTGCTGCCTGGAAACTGGCCATCATTATTCCAACTTACAAGAAGGACATGGGGGAAGACCCAGGAAACTACAGACCTCTTGGTCTGTCCTCAGTTCCTGGAAAAATTATGGAGAAGATTATATTGGGTACTAGTGAAAGGCACTTAAAGAACAAAGCAGACACAGCCAACATGAATTCAGAAATTAAGTAATTTAGTATCTTTGTGTGATAAGRCCACCTGCCCAGTGGATGAAAGGAAGATGGTGGATGCACCTTTTCTGAATGTCAATAAGGGTTTTCACATTGTCCCTCACAGCATTCTTCCAGCTGTGGGGTGAGGGGATTTGTGGGGCACTGGGTGAAGAGCAGAGTTCAAAGGGATATAGTGAACATGGCTACTTCTGGCTGGCAACTGGTCACTAGYGGTGTTCCTCAGGGCTCAATTTTAGTGCCAGTGCTGTTCAGTATGTTTATCAAAGATCTGGATGCATGAGTTGAATGCATATTAACAAGTTTGCTGACAGTACCAAACTGGGAGGTGCTGCTGACTCTCTTGAGGGACAAGAGGCTTTAGAAAGAAATCTAGATAGATTGGAGCTCTAAACTCGATTAATGGAATGAAATTTAACAAGCCTGGATTTTACACCTAGATCAAAGTAACACCATGCACAGAAAGTGGGAAAGGAGCGGCTGGAGAGCAGCCCTGCAGAAAGGGATCTGGGGGTGCTGATCAACAGCAAGCTCAGGAAGAGTCAGCAATGTGTCTCTGCTGCCCTCTTTTCATTAAGGGACCTTGTCCCATGGGCACACCCTGGGAAGCACAAGTAGCTTCTTCCATCCTATTCTCAATCAAAATGTGAGTAAAATCAGGAGCCTACCCTATTCCATCTGTTAAAAGTGCAGGGGAAAAAAAAAAAAAAGTGGATGCAGTGATAAAATCCCAAGCCCATCTAGCTGTATTTGCAGGATTTGCTCCACACCCTTTCCAGAAAAGCAAGAAGACAAGGAAAAAGGAATCAGCACAGTCTGTCCTGAGGCCCTGCCCTCTGCCCAGACCCTGACAGACAGATGGTGCCTCGTGTTTGCCCAAGAGGGCACAACGCTGCTCAGGGTGGATGGCACCAGACGCTGCTCACCTGGCTGCTTGACCGTGAGGGCGATGAGGCCGGAGACGTCCTCTGCGCGCTTGTACCAGCGCTCGCCGGGGTCCAGCAGCCACTCCTCCACACGGCAGCCATAGGCGCCGCTGTCCYGCACGGTGGAGTTGTGGATGGAGAGCAGGAAGAGGCCCGGGGCCGGGCTCTCCAGGTGCAGCCGGCTCCGCAGGTCGCCCAGCRCCGCCGGCTCCCCGTAGTGCAGCGTGCCCTGCCGGCTCAGCCAGGCCACCAACTCCTTCTCGGCACGGCCCGGCCGCCACACCGACCACTCCACTGACAGCTGGGACGAYGGGCTGGTCCGGTTGCTCACCAGGCACTCCAGGGTCACCCACTCGTTCTCCAGCACCGTGATGTTCTTGTGGGTCTGGTTCACCTGCAGGCGGTTATCTATGAAAACAAGCCATTAGAAATGAGAGGTGACAAGAGCTGCAAGGGTCCTTTGTCTCCCCACAAGCCTTTCCTGCATGGACACAGTCCTGAGGTGTGATGAAAAAAATGAAGTAGAAGAAAAAAAATGATGGAGAAAAGAAAGGACAAAATAAATGAGAAGAAAACTGGGCTTGTGCTTTTTCGGGTCTTCTGAAAATCTCAGGCTAGCCACCGACAATGCCCCATTCAGTGCAGGGAACTGGAATCCCACARTCTCCTGGTAGGAGCTGGAAGGTCCTAAGTGCACAAAAACCTAATAGAGGGAGATCACACCTCAGTCTTTTCTTGTTCTCCTCCTAGGATGAGGCTGTAGCCTGATCACACCCCAGCCAGTGAGCCCCCCCAAGTAGTGGAAAAAGGGAAAAAAACGCAAGGTGGAGAACAGAGAGCTGATCACAGGGAACCCCCACCGCAAAATGAGAAGTGGCATGAGGGCGAAGTCACACACAGTGTTTTGCTGCCTTGGGAATGTCCCTGGTTTTTGCTCCACAACTTCATTGATACTGGAATCAGCTCTTTTATGTGAAATGACGTGTGGTACACTCCTAAATCCCTCACGATTCTTTCCAGAGGCAGTCTGGACTTCCCTGGTAGTGCTGCTGCAGCAAGCACCGTACTTCCCAGAGAGAGGGGTGGGCATGCAGAGGAGGGGACAGTCACAGCTTGCCCGTCCCCCACCGCCCCTCAGCCACATTGGGACTTTGCAGACAGAAACGAGGAGCTGGCACCAGYACCAAGCCGTGGCCTGCTGCGCTTCCTGTGTGTGTGACCAGGCAAAGCTGGGCTGGGGGCCATACCCGATATCCCTCTTGCACCCTCGTCCACAGAGTTTGTGTCTGGCCAGACAAATCCACACAGAGAACATGCACTAAGCATCCCCGTCCAGCCCTGATACCCAACTGTGTCCATCCTGAGGGATTTTACCTTCCAGAAACAGGCAGCTGAAGAAAGCAAGGACAAGACAGGCTTCCTCATGAAGTACCAATGCTCTGGACATTGCCTCCCTGTATTTTCCCTTTATCCCAGCTTGTGGGGGCCATATTTAGCTCCTCCACCAGCTCACCTTTATCAGTGTCATTYGCTGCCACGGAAACCACCCACAGAGCAGATTTCTCCTTTCCTGGCAGCCAGCTCCCCACCTCATTAAACTTGTTATTCCCATCTCATGTGCACAGCRCACAGGGAGAAGAGACAAGGCTCCAGGATACAGGCACAGAGTGAAATTAAACTGTGTGCAAGACATCAAAATGCTTTCCCAGGCAGGCACACAGGGCTCCTCTCTCAGCAGATTGCTAGCAGATACCCTTTCTAACATGATGCTCTCAAGGATAATGAAGCCTCGCTGGATGCAGTGGCCCTACAGACTACGGGGGAGGGACAACCTTCATGTGGGGACACTGAAATGCACACCAGCTCAGCCTAAAGCGAGGAGAGTCACATCAAAGGAGGGAGGGAAAACCCTCTTTCCAGGCAAGAGGATGCAAGGACAGAGTGGCAATCTCCCAGGCTGTGCACAGGAGCCAGTGCCACGAGGATCCCACCTGGCTGCTTGACGGTGACCTCGGTGCGGCCCGACACCTCCTCTGCCAGCTTGTACCAGGCGTGGTTGGGGCTGAGCAGCCATTCCTCCACGTGGCAGTAGTAGCTGCCGCTGTCGCGCACCTCGGCCCGCTGCACCGTCAGGCTGAAGAGCCCGCCCGAAGCCGAGCGCTCRAACTGCAGCCGGCCCCGCAGCCCCTCCTCCTCCGCGTAGGTGCCATACTCGAAGGCCGAGCTGTGTGTAGTCTTCAGGATGAGCTTCCCGTCCGCGTCCGAAGGCTTGTGCACATACCACAGCACGGCAAAGTGCGAGTCGGGGCTGGTCTGCGACTTCACCGAGCAGTTCAGTGGGATGGGCCGGTTYTCCACCAGAGTGATGCTCCGCTTCGACTTGCTCACCTGCAGCTTGGTCACTGAGAGGGGAAATGGAGAAAGATGAAGAGAGGTGGGTCATGAACAGAGCAAAGAAACTCACCTGATTTGGGGTGCACTAGCGAGTCCCCTCTTGCCTGGGTCCTACTTGCCTTTAAGACATTTAGATACTCCACCAAATCTCTCAACTCCTGTCTACTCCCGGATCCTCCCACTGTGTCCCTCAGCAAGAGATGCTGCTTTTTCACAGTCTGACCTTTAAAAGACTCTCTTAATTCACAGTGGTCTAAGGCACCAGACTTAGCAAGAAGACTACACCCTAACTCAGTGYTTTTTCTCATGGTGAAATCATACCCCTTACACCTAAGGGCAATGAGCTGTTGACCAGTTCCAGAGAAAAGCACTTCTGACAGTGAATTAAATGAGATCCTACTGGTGTCACATCCCAGCCATCTCAGTGAGATGTAACCCACTAGTTAGGGGAGCAAATGCAGGCATAACTGGAAAAGGACAAAGAGCACCAGACTGCAAGGGAGCAGCAGGGAACAAGCTCCGCTCCCAGAGMCAGGAGATCTGGCTCCAAGTCCACCACAAATTACACAGCCTGGGACAAGCTGCAGGCACATCCCCTCCCTTGGCTTCCCAAGCACAAGTGCAGTTCCCACACTGTAGCTGAACGGTCACAGTGCTGAGGATGACACAGCAGAATCGTTAGTTCCTGTAAGGACAGAAACACGGATTCCCAATTCCTCTCTCCCTGTAGGATCACAAGACACAGTCTCCACTGCCTCGTGTGCTCAGGCTGTGCTTGTCACCCAAGCCCTGAGCCATTCCCATCGGCTRGGGAGGGCACAAAGCGCCCTCCTGTGACACTCAGGCTTGGTGTGCCCTGGAGCTGGCTCCAGACAGGGGAGAGGGGCAGCTCACACCCAGTGGGCACACCACTCCTCCCAGCATCTCTGTCACCATGTCCCTCCCCTCCTGTACCTCTCCTCTCACAGCAGCTCCCCTCTGAAAGGGGGAACGCTGTGCCAGGTGAAGGGRACTCTGCTGACAAGCTCTAATCTCTTACATAAAACCTACTGAGCACACGGCCACAAGTGGCACGACGAAAGCGTGGCACCACAGGCACGAACAGCTGAAGGCTGCCAGGGGACCCGTGCCCATCCACACCCTGGAAACACATCCCACGCATCCTGTGTTTGTGAGGAAGCAACGTGTCTTTTCTCCCCCACCRAGGCACAGGCTCCTTGCTTTGCATCGTGCTTTGCTTCCCGCTTCCCTTGGGCACCAGGGGCTCGGATGCCCGCCGGCACAAGTGACAAGTGACAGTGCCCAGGGAGATGATGGGCACAAACAACTTCAAATGGGAGGAACTCCCACTGCAGCGACGCTTTCTGCTCTATCACATCTGAGATAGGCATCCTGGTATCGCATCAGACGTTCCCCTGGAGCCTGGATTGCCCGTGGCTTTAATCAGTATGCTAATAAACACTCTGTGGCTGGAGTATGGCATGCAGACACTGGAGGAAAGAAAGGAGGGAAAATTGTCCTTGTGTTTTCTCCCTAAGGATTTCAACCTAATGTAAAGAGTCAGCATCAGCCTGTTGTATTTCTGCCATGCCCCAGACCACACTCCTTCCCCTTTGTTTCACCTCAGGACAGCTGTCTTAGCCACCACACCCACACTCATCCCACCTTTTTGGTTCACCATTGGTTAAGAACAGTTATTTCGAGCATTAATCAATCTTCCAAGTCCCTGGGAGATGAACCAATAAAGGAGAAGGTGATTCTCAGCAGTTCCTTTCTCCCCCAGCCCCCTTTCCAAACAGTTTATTTTTAATTGGTACTGGATTATTTTCTGCAACCGTTACTACGGAAACCTCTGTTACTATGGCAACTGTGTATGTTAAGTCAGTAGCCCCGTGTCTATTAAAATGCAGTATATACACACACTGCGTGTGGTGGGCTGCTCAATATCAACACACACACAGACACACAGACAAAGCCAGGGTACACACAGACCACAGCTGCTGACAGGCAAGCGCCCCTCTCAGTGCTTTTCCCGCATCGTGGCACCTCCAGGAGATGAAAATGAGGACTGGCACAGCGTAATGTTAAGCTGTSTTTGGGGTAACAGATCTGCACCTCGCACTTTGACAGATGTGTTCCACTGAAGCAATGAGGGCTTGTTCCCAGACTGTAATCACAATAATTGTCAYGGTGTGCAAACAGCATGGATCCCTGAGGTCATCCAAGGACTCTCAGGCCATCTCAGTGCAGCTTTCCCTGCTTCCATCCAAACTTTGGGAACAGGTCTTCTTTTTGAGAGTGATGGCAAACCAATCTTATTAACTCTGGGAAAAATGAGATCTTAAATTCCACAAATCTCCCCCAGCCCTCCAAGTTGTCCCTGGCAGCCACTGCAGCCAGCAGTCAGGAATTTGCCCAGATTTGCACTGAGTCCCTAAGATATTGATGAGATGAGTGCTTCCACAGCTGCTCCCAGTTGGAGCAGCAAGCCCTGGCAGAGAATTACAGGTCTTCCCTTTGCCAGACTGCACTCTTGCAGAGGTTAACACCGTGCACAAAGTTTCCTCTAGATTAGAGGTATCAGTGATATGCAATGACATCCCTGCCAATGCACTTTTCATCAAACATGAATTAYTTTCCTAAGGGAGGCACACCACAGAAGATGCAAGCGCAGGTTTTGTTTCCATCCCACAGAATTAGAGAGGACATTCTCAGCCTTTTCCAATCTGTGAGTGCCAAATGCTACCAYGTCCTGGTGCTGCCTCCTGCATAGTACACACGCACCCATCTCTTTTTCATTATCTTTTGCAGATCCTGTAGGAATAATTCACGTTTTTTACGGACCACAGGCTGGTAACTGCTAAGTTGTGAACACTGTGGCACACAGGTCACCTTGGGGCAGCTTCACCCTCAGGCTGACAGCTGGTTTGCTTGCCCATGCAAGAAAGAGATCCTGGTTAAGACATGGTAAGCTTTGTGGAGYAACACACTTCTGCTCTCCCATGGGGCTGACCAGCAGCCGCTGTTCACAGATTAGTGCAAACTAATGTAGAAAAAACTCAATTTCGTTTGGGAAAAACTATTTAAAAAGGGGGAAACAGATAATCCTGAAGTTGGTGGTCCAGGGTGATAGGAATGGTACAATGCCWGGGAGTCCATCCATCTCCTCCCATTCTGGTAGTAAACCTACTCCAGTGCAAACTGAGTCTCTCTATGCCACATGCAGCTTGCCACGTCATGTTTAAAGATGCTGCCACGACATGGAAACAGTTGTAGCTGCTGGTGCTTGAGTGAGGTTGCAGTAAGTCTGACACCCCAGGCACTGAGCCAGTGAAACCTCACCCTATGACAAGGGGGAAACTCCCTTTCCTGGCTTGAGGATTTGCTTGGGCAGAGAGCCAGGACAGGGCTTGGCCATTAAATGCCGCGTTATGCCGTGTGCCCCGGGGGCTGGGGTTTCGGTGAGGCAGGGCAAGGCTGCTCCAGCCCTGTGTCAGCCAGCAGAGGTGGTGGGTGCAGCGCAGTGAACAGGCACGGTTACACGGCACTTTCTGCTGCTCTGTCAAGAGGCTGATGCTCTCTTAACAGCCTCCCGAACATCTGCTCAGTGAGAAGAACAGGTGCCTGTGTCTAGGTGAAGTTATCGTGCATATCATTTGCAAACCATAATCCTGTTGCCACAATGTGTCCTGGCTCCCAGGAGAGTGCCAGTAAAGAGGATATCGTACCTTAATGTACTGTAATTGGCCCTACATACACGATTAAGGCTTTCAATTTACACTGGCAACAAGTCMTGGTTAGAACCCTGTTCATTTTTTAAAGGCAGCCTGCTCTCCCAGCCCCTGTGAAGCYGCACAAACTGTGTGAAGAGTGGAGGTGCTGAACCTTGCAGCGGTGTTTGGGCAGGGCCCTGCATGCAGCACCAGRACAGGAGACATCAGTTCACTTAGGGTATCCTCCTGCAACTGCTGGAGGAGCTGCAGGTTCAGTGGGTGCTGGCTCAAGCCAGAGCCTGACCAGCACATGGGGGATGGACATTACGTGCTTGTTGGGGTGGAGAGGCTGGCAAAGATGATCAGTGCTCACAATGAGTCCATAGACAGACCAGACACCTCACCCCACAGATAGTGCTCCAGGATCACATCCCTCTTTACTAACTCCCGGGCTGAGGAAAATGTCCCCACTCGCTTTCAGGGACACACATTATCTCAGGATGCCTGTGGCAGCTTCTGGAACCTTGCACCTCTCCTGCGAGGCCAGGTCAGACACACCTTACAACCACAGCAGGCTAGGACAGACACAGCTAGCTCCTCTACAAGCTGATACAGMAGGGGTTTTCTACACACTGAACAGGCAATCAGTGTCCTCAAGCCGAGCATGAGGTAAGCACAGTGACACAAATATTTGGGGGAAGGGAAGGCAGTCATCAGAGGAGGAGGACAAGAGACAGTGATGTGATTCACAGCTTTTCTGCTGACTTGCTGCCTCTTGTCTCCCTCCCCTCGGTTTCCTAATAATCCAGCTGGGGTTACAACACTTGCCTTTAGCAAAGCACTTTGCAACCTGTACCTAAAAATGCTGTGATAAGGAGATGCTCTGTCTCAGACACCTTACATCATTTTGCCTTGTAGGCAGCAAGAAAACACAACAGCAGGAGTTTACTTCTCACCTGGGAGCCACTATTATCGAGTCCTGGGAATGGCAACGTTTAATTGCAGCTGAAGATACCATTCTCCCTGAACAGCCCCATACAAAACCCCAGAATGTTGCCCCTGGAGCAAAGGAGGAGGGGGCCACCCGCTGGAGAAGGAGCCAACAGCTGTGGCACAGAAGGGTGGGCAGGAGGATGGCCACCGCCACCCCTGAGTCCCCAGAAAGCCCTGTCACCACAGCAGGGAGGCGGTGTCCCACTTTGGAGGCCGCTGCTCTCTGGGGAGAGCTCCTCCAGAGAACATTCTTGCTCCAAGAGAACTGATGAAGTGCTGCAAGAAGTTTTCTGGGGGAATGT